CGGCTCAGGTTTCCGTTTCCTGCATCCTTCTTTAACCCGGAGCTCTGGGACATGCTAGGCCTCACCACGCCCTTCTGTTTTTCTAGCTCAGCTGTGCAAAGGAGAAAATACATATGTGCCATATACTCTTGGCTTCCACATATTTTCTACTGATGCGAGACAGCTGCTGATATCGTCTATAAAACAATGGGAACTATTTACTCACATTCTATCCGGTACTTCTCCATCTCTTGGACTTCTGCAATAGATTCTCGCAAATCATCAGTGAACTTTTTGCGGTCCTGAGGATTGGGTGCGTTGAAGTTGATGAGGACTTTGATATCAGCTCCAGGAATGGCTGAAGTCAGGCGAACGCCATTGGGATAGTCTAAAGAACGATGAAAATGACATTTCAGACATTATACTATTGAAGTCTATGAGAGTTAGTACTGATGTTACCAGTAGGACATAATAGGAACCAGCTGCAGGATATCAGAACTACCATCAGAGACAACAGATTTAGGATATTAAAGTATGTGTATGTGGAGTATGTGACTTTGAATTATAGATATATTTCAAAGTTCAAAGTTTCCATGATGGCAAGCTCTGAGGTTGGCTGTTATCCATCAAAAAGGAACTTTCCAATAGACTTTCCCATTGGGATTTCTGTTAAAGGAACCATGTTCTGACTTAAGTTTAAGTGCGAGAGTTTAACCTTCAAACAGTCCTTGTTTAGGAGGTTCTGTTGATGGAACATTTGGGATCTTTGACTTTGTTAATTTGTATTCTTGTATTTTCCCACTAGTGCCCATTGGCCATTTATAAGAACCTGCAACTGCAAACAGTTATTTTTTGTGCCCGCTTAGCTTTGAAAAGTCATCGAGCTACGTAGGAAGTCCTGAACTGTTTAGGAATTTTTTGCATAGAAAGGCATCAAACCAGATTTTCAAGCATGACTTTTGTTGGTGCTATATAAATAAATAACAAATCAAATGAAAGGAAATTTGACACAACAGCCTACAATGAGAAAGTCAGCTTTAACATTCGTAATAATAATTTAAAAAGATGCAGTTTAAAAGTAATAGTTTCTTAAAATGTCCGCTAATCAATTTGCGTTATGAGATCAGACCAAAAACAGGGCTGAAGAAACTTGTGGTTCCCTAACATTAGTTCCTAGAACTAAGGGGTCTGGGGACTCTCAGTGGACACACAACTATAACACAGTGAGTGCTTCATGCAAATACTACTTACACTGATTCTCAAAGAGGAGGACTTGCATGCCATAAAGAGAGAAGGACTGTCGAAAGCTGTACGTCACAGAATTCTTTTTCTTCTGGAAGATTTTTGTAACCTGTGAAAAAAGCAAAGCAGGCGCTCTTTTTAAGACTCTTTCACTCTAAAACACAGTTTGTTCTCTTTTTACTGAAAGTAACATCTGCCGTACCACTAGCAAGTCATTGAAAAGGAAGATCTCCCTTTGGTGCAGGCCCAACTTTTGAGGTTTGTTGGGGTCGGGCACTTCAAAAAGTCTGCAGTAACAGACCAGTCTCCGGTGGGGTAGAGATAGTACCTGGACAATACAATACAGTATAATTTCTTATTCTGTCTCTTGGTGCTTCACAGAGAGCTTTCAAACATGCTGCTTCAAACTTTATGCCTCATACAGCCTTGAGGAATAACAGAAAAATCCCACTCAGTGCTAATATGAAAATAATTGAAAGGAAATACTTACACAGCCAAGACCATGATGTAAAGAGCCGATCTAAGGAGTAAGAAATCAAACAAAACACATTTCAGAGCTTGAGGGACACATGTAAAAATGTATGCAACAAGAATGATAAGAAGTTTCAAGCAATGTTTATGACCAAATTAAAAACCTATATAGTTTTACGGATGACAGAACCACGCTGCCAGAATCCTTCACTTTCCTCTTTTCCGACTCCGTCCTCCATAATGGTCGTGACATCATAAGGATCATCTCTCAGGTATCGACTCACAGAAGTAGTTTTCAAATAAACGGCTTCAAGATCATTATGAGCGAGGCTGTTTATCTCATTTTTACACAGCTTGTTAGCTCAGGCTTTTCTTGTGGTTGGTACTCGGGGCAAACAACATACTGCAGTAATGCACAATGGTATAGTAGCCCTGAAGAGTCACACGGTGAAGAAAGTTGGCCATGAATTAACCAGCACACTATAGCAGCTCAG